GGGGTAATTATTGCACAGTCCTCCCTTAATGGATGAAATGTTTGAAAAAAAAAATTCTAAGGAGAGATGTCTTTTGAAGACCGCTCGACCTACCCGATGAAGAGACGATTTATACTCTTTGAACTAGCTACGCGTTTGTGTCTGATCGAGTTTTATATATTATCATAATATCAGAAGATATACAAATGACAAGTTTAATATATTTTAATAACAAGTTTAAGTTAAAGTAAATTATCATTGACGTGAAGATGTATCAATTTTTGATTTATAGAATGAACCAAGTACTATATTAGCATAACATCAGATAAACAAATGACTAAGGCTAAAAGCAAATTATCAAGTTTATATTATCATAATATCAAATAAACAAATTTATACTATGTAGTCTTTTTTAGGAAACAAAATGTTGTTTTTATTTCTTTAATATCAATAAAAACTTTCAAAATCAGTCCTTTCATCTTCGCTAGGGACTCTACACAATCCCCGGCAGAGAGTTTATGTACAAACCAGTTATAAAGCATGTCATATGCAACAATATCCTTTTCTTATGTAAAAACCTTTTTATACACGATTGTCTTTAGCATCGCAGCACTTCACTTTTGATAAAAATCGCTAGTCTAAAGATATATTTGTAAACCCAAGAAAATAACTATTTTTTCCTAATCTTCCATAATTGTGTTTGATTGATTTGAACAATTGAAACCATAAAAACTGTGTTCTTATCCAGTCTTCTATATAGCGTTACTCACAGTAAGGTTTTTTCAAACAGATCGTGTGACCAGACAGACTGTCATGGCAGCAAGTCACGCGATGTCACGCGATGGCATTAAAATTGAAAGCGAAAGTCTTGATCAAATATCATGAAATGCATGCGGTTTATTGCGTTGTTAGAAATCATATGACATCTTTTACTTTAATTTTTAGTGATATCAATGGTTTTATGATATTCGCACTGTATCTCGATAGAATTTAAAATGAAACCTCTTGAGTGTAGCTTGCAATTAAAAGATTTATAGACATTATAGCAGCCCTGCTACTGATATAGATTACTTCTCTTTTTGTTGTCCATAAGTCTATCAAATCATATTAAGAATATAGAATCATATAAAAGTATTTCAAGGACCCAAGAATGATCATCAATCCCATGTAATGGCTTCCGGCTTGTCTGTCGCCTCAGTAGTAACCGACTTAGAGCCGTTGGAAACTCGATCACTTGTCACAAATTTAAGAGATTCCTTACTAAAAGTATGAACTGTTCAACTTACCAATCTTCTGTTTGTCGCTTCATTTAAGAAAACAGTGCTCTGATCTAGAGGAATCGATCTGAGTTGAAGCCAAACAGTGCAATGGTAATTTCCCCGAATAACAGGAAGCGTGAAATCGAGGCTAAGTTATTAATAGGTATGAGGCATTTCTTACTCTATGACCACAGGAAGCCCGTACAAGCTCAAGAATAGACCATTGGCCGCTGATGGAAGCAAGAGTCTCAGTACCGAACTTTCGTCTTTTTTTTGTGTTAATGATAACGGAGTGTCTAAACGTCAGGCTGTCGATTTTTTTTTTCAAAATCGTCGAAACAACCGTAATTTCAATTAATACAAGTGAAATGCAATCAAGACCGAAACAATTCTGTTCGACAAATTTGTACAGTCACAAGTACGGCACGGAGATTTTTTGACTGCCTGACGTTTAGTGGCCCAGAACTAAACATCAGGCAGTCGATTTTTTTTTATGAAAAATCGTCGGAGTAGCCGTAATTTCAATTAAAGTGCATATATGGGTTCAGCAATTTTGATGACTATGTATGATGACTGTATATTGTAATGCATTTCTCAGCAATTTGTCAGTAAAACGATAACGTTTTACGATATATCAAGACGGAACAATGGAAAAATTTCAGCCATTTAGCGCATACTTTGCCGAAAACCATCTACGAGATCTCAAAAAATCAGTATGATGACTTCGGAGTAGCCGTAATTTCAATTAAAGTGCATATATGGGTTCAGCAATTTTGATGACTATGTATGATGACTGTATATTGTAATGCATTTCTCAGCAATTTGTCAGTAAAACGATAACGTTTTACGATATATCAAGACGGAAAAATGGAAAAATTTCAGCCAATTAGCGCACACTTTCCCGAAAGCCATCTACGAGATCTCAAAAAATCAGTATGATGACCGTATATCGTATTGCTTTTCTCAGCAATTCGTCAGTAAAACGTTAATAAGACAACGGAATCCTAGACTTAGGATATAGGTCTAAAAATATTTTATACAT